CCCCGCCTCCAGGAGCTCGCGCGGGACGCGCGCGGCTGCGAGCAGCTCTACATCCTGCTGGACTGGGCCGCCAATGTCTACGGCAGGTGAGGGTCCCGGGCAGCACAGAGGGGCGGGCCCCTTCCCCCTCCCTTTCCTTCCTGGGCGAGGGCTGGTGAGAGTCCCGCAGGCCTCTGGCATCCTTTCCTGCGGTTCTAGGCCATGGTGTGCTCACAAGGGGCCACCCAGGCGCCGGCTCCCGAAACTGGAGAGCGTCAGGGGGACTCCTACCTGGGCAGGGAACCCCGCTAGAGGGCCTCTGCTGGTCCCCAGGGCGCCTCTACTAGTAAGTGACTTAGAGAAGGGCACCCTCCAGGCAGGACACAACCGCGGGCTCACACTGCTCGGCGTGGGTGGGATGTTACCCAAACGCTCTCCTTTGGATGCCCCGGAGGAGCAGGCACAGGCCGGCCACTCCGGCTCTGCAGTGTGATGGGCGGGTCGCCTCTGCGCTGAGCGCCCGCAGCCCACAGCGGGAGAGCGCGTGGGAGGAGGGTCCTGGGCGCGGTACGGGTTCTCGGAGAGACACTGGCCCCTCTCTGGGCTTCCCTGGGGTGGGCTGGATAGCGACAGGTGCCTGAGCTGAGTGGCACTGGGGCGCTTAGAGCTCCGTTTGGGGTGTACTCCGACCATGAGGGTAGAGGTCACTTCCGAGGCAGCCTGGCCAAGGTCCATGTGGAAGCCGTTCCTATGCATTCTGTGCGCACACAGCTGATTGGGCCGGTGCCAGGAAGCCCGGCGGGGAGAAGCTTGGGGGTGAGGTGGTGTTGGAGGGCGGGGTGGAATGTGTGATTGGAGACTCAGGTTTGGGGCACTGCGGTGATGGTGGTGATAGTGTTACCCTTTGAGCCCGGCCAGAGGGGCGTGGGGTGGGGGGCAGCCGCTGCCTCATCACCCCCTCCTCCCTTCCAGTCCTAATTTCCTGGGCGCCCCGGACCTGACTCTGTCCACGGAGCCGCTGCCCCCACTCCTGGCCCCAGAAGTGTGGGCCCAGCTGGAGAGCGATTACACCAGCTTTCTAGAGGTGAGGCGGGGCGGGGCTAGACGATAGGGGCGGGGCTAGATGGCAGGGGCGGGGCTAGACTATAGGGGGCGTGGCTAGACAGCAGGGGGCGGGCGTAGGATAGCAATCCAAGGCTCCCCGCGGCCTGAGCCCTGGCGAGGTGGCCCTTGTCCCCAAGGACGCGCGGTGCGGCTCCTGAAGTAGGGGACACCCGATCTCCTTCCGGCAGGGTCTCACCGCGCCCTCTCCCCGCTCTCCCTCCCACCCCCCCAGACCAAGATCGCCAGCTGCTTCGAGAGCATCCTGCAGTTGGAGCAGAGCCGCTGGGCAGCCGCCGTGGACCCAGAGGTGCTGCAAGGCCGGTACCACTCGTCGCTGTCCATCGACGTCCACATGGTGCGGCCCGGGATGGGCTGAGGAGGGGACCTGTGTTTGGAAGTAGGGACACCCAAAGCTATAAAATCCAGTACCCCCCCCTCCCCCACTCAGACGAGAGCTTGAAGGCCCACGTGGGGCGGGATGGGGTCCCCTGGTCGCATGGCCAGGCAGGGAACGCCAGGCCACAGCTCCCAGTTGGCCGTGGTGTGGGGCGTTGGGAGGGTTGGCCTCCACGTGAGGCGGCTGGAAGCTGGAGCCCAGATGTGAGACAGCAGGGCGGGCTGGAGCCACTAGCTGGGGCCTGGGGGTCCAGGGCTCAGAGGCGGGCTCAGCGCGTGGCCTCGCTCCTAGCTGGTGGCAGAGCACGTGAAGGCGGCGGGGGCCATCTCCGCGGAGCTGGAGGCCACCACCTTGCGGATCTGCGCGCGGGCGCTTGGCCTCTTCCTGCCCAGGTGCGGGCCGTCCTCGGCCAGGGCGGGTGGGGGTAGTGGCCAGGCCGGTGTGGATGGTGTCTCCCCGGGGGAGAGCCCATCCTGTTTGCTCAGAGTGGGAGGTCCGGATACGTGGGAGGGAGGAGCCTCATCCCGAGGCCCGAAGCTTGGATGGGACTCGAGGGGAGGGTGGTTCTGAAGGGCAGGAGGACCCGGGTCTTAGCGCGGCCAGGAAGGCTCCCCAAGGCCTCTGCGTACCCGCCCACAGGTTTGAAAAGACTTTTCTGGAGTCGGAGGCGGTGAGCGAGCCGCACCTGGGCGCCTACATCAACGCCTGCGAGGAGCTCAGGTGGGTCTCCCGCTCCTCCTCGGCGCGGTGCCCAGCACGGTCAGCAGGGGGCGCGCGAGCTCTGGAAATCGGGGCACTGAAGGTGCACGCAAAGGAGACAAATTTGCAAAAAGGGGAATTCCCGGGAGGCCGCCTGGGCACCGCGGAGCCGAGTTCCGGGAAGAGATGCAGAGAGTTCCAAGGCTGAGCAGAGGCTGAGAAGTTCCAGCCTCTGGTTTCTGTCTGTTGCCAATCCGGTCCACATCCTGCCAATGTGGACTCCATTGCTTTCCTCCCTGCATCCCAGCAGCCCTCGTTCTCTTTAGAACACGCCCTTTTCTGGGAAGCGGGGCTGTGCTGGGAGTGGGGCCTGGGTCCCTCTGCCCCCAGAAGCCAGAGGCCCTCCCTCTGGGCTGGCAGTGCTGCCCCCATTCTGTGCCTTCAACCCTAGGCCAAGGCTCAGTGTGCTCCGTTGTGGAGGGACCAGCGGCTGCAGGGCAGCCAGCAACGGTGGACGCAGACGCTGAGCCGTCCCGGGTTCAGAACCCGGCTCCACCACTTGCAGGCTGTGGGCCTTGAGATGAGTCACTTCCGCTTTCTGCGCCTCCTTTCCTGACCTGCCCCGTGGAGGTCAGACCACTGCTCCCTGGGACTCAGTGCCCTCGAGGGCCCGTGCATAGTGGCTTCAGGAATCCTTGTGATGTGCCAGGCACTGTGCCAGTGCTTTACCCACCTGGTGCCTTTCATCCCGAGGGTGGCGTCCCCATGTACAGATGGAAAGGAGAGGCTTAGAAAAGAAATGCCACTTGTCTATCGTCTGCAGCCAGTACGTGCTGCAGCCGGACTCGGAACCAGGCCTGTCTGAATCCAAAGCAAGACCACAATGAGACCACTCTCTTGTCTCTAATCTGGGTCCAGCTTGTCCGGGCGGCCCCAGGGAACATTCTCTGCACCTTGGTGGGCAGGTAGCCCCTGGCCCAGCCCCTGATGGCATGTTAGCCCGCCCTTCTGTGTCCCTGTCCTGGGGCCTGGGCATAGCCTGGCCCTCAATTGCCTCCACACTGAAATGGGCATTGGCACCTGCAGGGAGGCGGTCACGAGACTCCAAGAAGGGCCCCTGGGCCAGGCTGGGCTGGGCTGCACTCTCCCGGAGGGATGGCGGGTTGGCCTAGAGCTGCCGCAGGGGAGCTCTGCGTGCAATGGGCCACGCCCGTGCCCCTGACCTGCGCTTCCATGACTGGCTCCTGGGGCTTTGGTGCTGTCCCCTCACTTGGCTCTGCTCCCAGGGTTACTACCTGTGTGGCCTAGGCCCTTGGCATTATAGTCTAAGGCAGCGGTTCTCAACCTGTGGGTCGCGAACAATGAAAATACATCCTGCATATCAGATATTTACATTACAATTCGTAACAGTAGCAAAATTACAGTTATGAAGTAGCAACGAAAATAATTTTATGGTTGGGGGTCACCACAACATGAGGAACTGTATTGAAGGATCGCGGCATTAGGAAGATCTAAAGCAGTGGTTCTCAACCTTGGCTGCACATTAGAATCACCTGGGAATCTTTTTAAAATCCTGATTTCATTTGATGCGTGCAATGGGCCACGCCCGTGCCCCTGACCTGCGCTTCCATGACTGGCTCCTGGGGCTTTGATGCTGTCCCCTCACTTGGCTCTGCTCCCAGGGTTACTACCTTGTGTGGCCTAGGCCCTTTGCAGTCTAAGGGAGTGAAGTTGCATGGCACCTAGCCTGCATGACAATGTGCAGCCAAGGTTGAGAACCACTGGTCTAAGGGAGTGAAGTTGCATGGCACCTAGCCCGCATGCATGCCGGGCCTTGTCCCGCACCCTTGCTACTTTGTAACCTGTCCTGGCCCCTCCGCAGGACCAACCTACTGGCCAGGTTCCCAGGAGCCTTCACGGAGCTGGAGCAGCCCCTCGTGGCTGCCACCTGCATCTTCCAGAAGCGGCTGCTCCAGGGTTTGCAGCACAATGTGCAGGTGAGTGGCACGGGCCCTCTCTGCCTACTTTCCACACCCAGGGGATGCCTGTGGGCCCTGGGCCCCAAGTCACAGCATTCATTACTCCAGGGGCAGTTTTAGGGGTGGTGTGGGGCAGGTGACCCAGACAAGGTCCCAGCTGGGCAGGGATGGTCAGTCTCCACTTCCTGGAGACTGTAGGTCAAGAAACCAGGCCTGCCCGGCTGGCATGGCTCAGTGGTTGAGCATTGACCTAAGAACCAGGTCAAAGTTCGATTCCGGGTCAGGGCACATGCCCAGGTTGCAGGCTTGATCCCCAGAGTGGGGCCTGGAGCAGGCAGCTGATCAATGATTCTCTCTCATTGATGTTTCTCTCTCCCTTTTCCTTCCTCTCTGAAATCAATAATATACAGTGGGGCCTTGACTTATGAGTGTCCCGACTAACGAGTTTT